AACCAGGACAGTAAAGGGAAAGAAGGAACCTGAGAGAGGACTAGCAAGACACAGGTGTTACCAAGGGGGAAATGGTAAAATGGGAGTTTAACTAGGAGAGGAAGAGGACGTGTTATACAGGACTGTGGGGGTAAAGAGGAGGAAGGAGCTCAAGAGAGTGGGGATGACAGGGGTCAGGTATTATCAAGGGTGAAATGGGGAAATGGGGTCCTCTAACTGGGGAGGGAAGAGGGAGGGTTAGACAGGGAGAAAGAGAGAGGAGAGATAAGTAATATTTAGCTTGTGTGGAAAATCAGAAGGAACTGCATTAGTTCAAAAACCTACTAAAAATTACACATACAATATCTCTACCTGAAACCATGTGTAAAGCTGATGACTATATAACAAGAAACAGCACCAGACAGGAGAAACCACCCTTTGAGGTGTTGACCAGGGTAGTCCGTGAGACTTCCCAAACAATACAAGCTATTGCCACAGCCCTTAATTTCCTCCCAGAACTTGAAGCTAAGACCTTATTGCTGAAGACGGGACATACCTTGGACACAGGACTTGGAGCAATGGAGCTGGAACTGACATGGAAACCTCCTCTCTGGGGGCGAGCTCTCAAAGCTTTGGAGGACGCTGTGCAAGCTGCTAAGGGAGAACATCAATTGATGGTCCACAGCCAGCTTTAAGGCCTAATCACCACAACAATGACCAGCACAGCAAAGGACATTAGGGCAGTGGTGGCACTTTTATCTTCCAGGTAATCAACGGTTACTTACTTGGACTTAAAGCCCCCTCAATGGGAGGAAAGTCACGTCTGGTAAACATAGCCAAATACACATGGCTGGAGATGTCACAGATCTTAGAGAAAACCCTAAGGCTGTCACATACCTAAACAAACATAATTTCTTACGTCTATTATGCTAAATATGGATCCTTATATTTACAGACAAGTATCCCAGTCACCACTCATCAAAGAAGCTTCTTTTGCAACAGATGGAGAGGAAACTATTACAGAGTTCCACATCTGGTCACACGCAGAGAGTAAGTGTTTGTGAAACGCCTAACCCTAAGTGACACACGTACAATGCAACCTCTGCACCTAAGGTTCATGGAGCACAGTGGAACAACGCATCTCCAACTCTCATCAGTGAAGCTCCCTCATGTAACAGGCGGCAATGAACACAGAAGGCCACAAATGGACAAAGCACAGAGAATAAGAGCCTGCAGAGTGTGAGTCCTTGGCCAGGACTCCTGTATTAAACCTCACCCACCGGGGCTCAGGGAGCACTGTGGCGGAAAAGGACCGCAGAAAGACTGTGAGAGCCAGGGGAGGAGGTGCATGACCATACGGAAACAGAGTCTCACAGGCTCCTGGGAAATTGTTCATATGAACCTACAGCAACAGTGTCAGCATGCACAAGACCCAGGCAAACTCAAGCAGATACCCAGCACAGAACTGTGGAAACGGGCAGCAGACCCCAGTCTTAGCAAAAGAACTATTAGCAGCTGATTATTGCGGGGTGAGGGAGAGTTGATCTTCTTTAAGGGAGGGACTCTAGACAAGCTGACTAGACCTCAGTGGATGAACTTGTAGTGAGGGACATCTGGGAGCACTATCTTGACTTGATAGGCCTTAACAGAAATGACAGAATGCATGAAATCTGGTGTATGTGGGGAATTATGGAAGGGTGTGGTCGGAGGAGAAGATATAAAAATGATTGTTTTGCATGAAATACACAAAAATTCAATAAAATATACAAAAACAACAAAAAATAAATTATCAAAGAACTAATAAAAACGAGAAAGAAAAAATACTGTTCATGGGGCTACTGACGTAGCTGAGTGGAGGAACATTTATTTGCCTAGCATGTGCAACGTCTTGGGCTTTATCCGCAGAGAAAAAGAAAGGACGGAGGGGAGGAAAATCATAAAAAAGATAAAAGACAATAAAGGCAAATGTGGGGAATGGGGACCGCTTACGCATCGCTGGTGAAGTCACTGTGAAAAGCCGGATCTGTCACAGGACACAACTACACCACTCCTGGCCGCACTCCCAAGGACTCATTCCCTCCTACAGAGACACACGTTCATCTGTGTTCACAGTCACTCTCTTCACAATTGCTTAAATCTCCATCAGCCATTGAATGGATATGGAAATGTGGTACCTATACATGGGGGAGTTTTATTCATTTGTAAAAAACAATGAAATTATAAAATTTGTGGATAAATGGAGGGAGCTGGAAAGCATACTGAGCGAGGTCACGTAGACCCAGAAAGTAAGCATTGCACGCTCTCACTCATCTGTGGATATTAGTGCCAAATCACTAGATATGTGATTAACTTGGAGTAACAGTGGAATGCAGGGAACTGGAAAAGGACCATCGGTGGGGAGCAGGAAAAAGATCTTATGGGGCGGGGGACAGTAGAGCACACATGACATTAGGGGCAAAGGGAAACAACAGGGAGGGAGGTTTAAGTGGGGTGGGGGATGGGAGGGTAAGGTAGAGGAGGGAAAGGTAACTATAAGGATATTTGAAAAAGCATACGGAAGCCCACTACTTTGTTTCGTATATACATGTGTGTATACACGTGAGTTTGATTGGAGTTACCCTACGCAGGGAATTATGCTTATCCCAGAAGCCAGTGCCAGATGAGGGACACCTCCCCTCAAATCATTGGCCAGAAGTGTCCTGGAGACTCCATGACAATACTGGCTATTGCCACCCCTCTTGGTTTTCCACCAAGAACGTAACGGTAAGACCCTATTGCTGAAGACACCATACACACTGGTCATAGGACATGGAGAAATCAAGTTGATACTGACCAGGAAGTTTCCTTCCTGTGGACTAGCTCTCATAGTACTGGAAACTGCTCTTCAGGCTGCTGGGGGAAAAGCCATCAATTATCTAACCCAGCTGTGAATTCTATGAACTACAGTAATGACTGGTATGGTGAGATATGTCCATGGGCGCAATAGTTGCATGAATGTTACAGAGGTAACTAACCGCTGACTGGATTTAAGACCTACTCCATGGGGGGAAACACGTGCCTTCTACTGCAAACGCGGCTAAGGGCCCATGTAGTTAGGGAGCTCACATGTCCCAGGGGTGAACCTGCTGCTATTATTCTACTAAATGGCCTTAGGATCCTTTAAATTCGTCTCTTTACCCGTAGATTAGTGCAGCCCCAGACCTCATCAGAGAAGTTTCTTTGTGCAGTGGTCAATGGTTAACACAGAAACTCTGCCAAAGTGCAGAGAGTAAGTGACTGTGGAATGCTCCACATAGCCTGTGGCACATCTGTATCACACCCTTTCCCCAAGTCTCAGGGACCATTAAGGAAGAGGGGGTAGGATTGCAGGAGTCAGAGGTCAGGGAGGATCACCAGAGCAAAACAGTGTCCTCTGGGCATGACAAGACCACCACGCTTATGAACTTACAGCATGCTGGCTGCCTGCACAACACTGTAGTGTGGAGTGGGAAGGGGTTAGTGAGCCTCCTACTCATAATTGAGGAGGTATGGACAGGTGATGGCTTCTGAGGGAGAGTCATTCTTCCTTGAGGTTGTGGCTCCTGGGAGGTTGACCAGGCTCCAGGGGACAGCCCCATACCCAGAAGTACTTGGACAACACAAGTAGGAGTGCGTTACTAAATTTAAAAACAAGATATGGGGGCTGGAGAGATGGCTCAGTGGTTAAGACACTGGCTGTTCTTGCAGAAGACCTAGGTTTGAATCCCAGCACCCACATGACAAGAGAGAAAGATGCAGATAGGAGGACATAAAGATCTCCTGAACAGCTGCATCTAGTCACACATCTCCAGGTTTCCTTGTGACATGAATGAAATAAGTCTGAGTTGGATTCTAGCCTTTGGAACCATTAATAGTACTTTTATTGCTGGCTCTAGTTTCTCAAAAATGAAAATTGGCCTCAATGTGACTCTACGAGAGATATTTGAAATATAAACCAAGGTCACACCATGGTGGTGTGAGAACACTGCAATGAACAGCAAGACCAAGAACCACAAAGGGTGTGACAGCTGATGCCATCCCCTCAGCTTCCTTATGTGGAGCCTATGCTGCATCTACTCTTTGAAGGAGCACCCCCTCTTCTGGGTCACCCGGAGACTGGCTCCTCCCATCCCACACTGCTTCTTCCCTCTGCTCAGCTAGGAGGCTCAGAATACAGATAACTCAGATTGTGTTTAATTATGAACAAAGCTCTCCAGGTGGGAATGTTCTTCAGCAGTCTGGGAAGACAATGGGAACAGAGACAGGCTTTGGGGGGTCTCTGCAGATGCTGCTGCAGGGCATGGACAGAGGCTCTGGGGTCAGGTGAGGAGCAGAGTCACAGCCAGAGCCTTGGGAGGTGACCTGGCAGCTGCACTGGAGCCACTGAGGAGCTTGACTTCAGAGGGAAACAGGCAGGCTGAACAGACTGGGGAGTCGGCAGGGACAAGCAGGCCTTTCAGAAGAGTGAGAGCAATTCAGCCGAAATACTCCCATGAATCAGTGCAAGAGCCCTGTGGGAGAGAGGGAGTGGTCAGCACAGGTGTTCTGAGAGATACCCGCACACCGCCCCAGGGTCCCTTACAGCTTCAGACAGAAGAGGCTGAGGCCCAGAGCATACCGCTTGCATTCCCCACTAACTGTATAAACATGAAACCAGCAAAGGGGGCACATAACTTGACCTGGACACACACGTGTGGGAGGTAGGGAAGGAAGCCCCTCCCCTTCCAGGGACTACGAAGGTCTAGATCTCTGGTGGGTTGTGGTAACTTAGCTTCTTTCCACTACTGCCTGTCTCTTCCAATCACTCTCAATGTCCACAGGCAGCGGACTCCAGCATGGACACAAAGCAGGCATCACATTGCTGTCTAACCCCAAGGCATGGCTCAGGGCCCCAAGTTTCACAGAAAGACGGCACTAAAGTTATGGTGGCAACACAGTGCTCTGGGAACAACCTACGAAGTTCCCTACAGACATGGACAACCTTCTCCCCTAACCCTGACCCCACGGCAGGGACCAGGCCACCAACTGGGACTTGTGCAGGGTACACCTGCCTCATGCCCTTCTCGCTCACCCCCATACCCCTGCCCCACCCCAGAGTCAGGGCTGAAATATTACCTGCTGGTGGAGGCCCACGAGTTCCTACAAAAGGAAGTTACACAGGGAAAGGTCTCGTTATACAAACGTAATTCACACGAACTCCAAGAGACAATGACACATGCAGTAGGTACACATCATTTCTGTTCCCTAAGGCCCTGAGCACAACCCCCTTCCCTGGAAGGAAGGGAAGCAAAGCTCAGGCTCTCAGTGGAGAAGCTTCTGGAAAGGAGCCAGTGAGACAGTGGTAAACAGCAAGAAAGTTGCAGAATGAGCTCTACCGTTGGCTCTGTGGCACAGCTACCCTCCAACCAGTGAAGCCAGATTCCAATGTCTCCCTCCCCTGGGATCCCCCCACCACCAGTGCAGCCCTTCCTTCAGAGTCAGGAGCAGAGTTCCTCCAGAGACAGAATGCCCTGAGCAGAGGGTCGCAGGTACAGCCCCTCATCCCCACTGCTCCCAGAGCTCCTCACCTTTCTGACTCCTGTGACGGATGTAAACACCCAACCCAAGGAAGATCAGCCCCAGCACGAAGCCCCCAATGCCACTCAGCATCTTGCTCTGTGCAGATTCAGACTGTGCCCCTGGGGAACAGAGCCTAGTGTCAGTGTTTGTCCCAGACCCCACAACATCCCTGGCTGAGAACCTGAAGGCCAGCCTGAGCTTCATGAGGTGAAGGAGCCGGGAGACACGACTCTCTATGCTGACCATGTTTAGAGGATCAACAGACCCATCAGGAACTCTAGAACACAGCGGGCAGGTGGAAGAGAGGGACTAAGTGGATGCCTGGTCCTCACAGACACACCCATATCCTTAGGTCCTAAGAGCCCAGTCACCAGCCACAACTGTCAGTTCCTTAGTGTCAGGATGGGATCCAGGATCACAGTGTATAGAGTGAGCTCCCAGTACTTCTGTGTCGAAAGACGACTAGGTAAAGATGCTTCAAAGGGGCAAGAAACCTAGTTTTCTGTGGTTCTCAGCTCAGTAGCGGAATCCAGGACAAGTGCTGGGAACAGGGGTGTTAGCGAGATGGGCTAGGGACAGGTGGGCGTCCTTGTCTTGTAGGACCTGCAGTGAGACAAGCAAGCTTCCCTTACTCCACTCCACGGTGACGGGGCTCTGCAGGCTGGGGTGCTCCACGTGGCAGGTGTAGACATCTCCACGCTGAGGGGTCATCTCCAGCATCACCAGGATCTGGAAGGTCCAGTCGCCATTCCTGATGAGGGGTGTGGACACGACGCCAACTGTCTGTTCCTGGCCATTCCGGAACCACCGCACTTTGATCTGGCCTGGGTAGAAATCTGTCACCGAGCAGACCAGCAGGTTGTGGTGGTTGAGAGCCTCTGTCTTGGATGGGGAAATGGTCACCTTGGGCTGCTCTGGGGGACAGACAGGAAAACACAGTATGAGTGAGATGTGAGACACAGGGCGTCTCCCCTGGAGGAGGGGCAGGGTGGGAATCCCTGGGTCTCCATACTGAACTAGGATCCATTCCACAAATGTCACTGGGAATACAAGACAACGCCAGCCCACGGCCCTGCTCTTATAGAACCCGCCACCTAGTAAGAAACAACACCACAGTGCATGTCATCTCAAAAATGTACAACTTCTTGCACCGTTCTCCTTAGGTCTCTGATCTTTGTCTTCATTCTTTACATTATCCTTCTTGAGAACAGTGTGGATTTCATCCATTACTGTGGATAAATTTCTGATTGTCTTATTCAATTGATTTTCAAATTGCAAATTCATGCTTTCTGGAATGAAGGCGGTGCATGTTTGATTTTAGTAGTATAAATATATGCCAGTTCAAATGATGTATAAAGTTTTATGAATGTGAGTCTGCTTTTGAAAATTGCCTGTAATGTCTAGCATTCAAATATTAAATACTCAGTAAGTAAAAAGGATTTTGCATTGCAAACTCTTTTAGGATGAACTCTGTTATAGTTTTAACCCCAATAAAGTTCATCAGTTTAATTGAAAAAAATGTACAACTTCTTAAAAGCAATGGAGTCTTGAAAATAATGTCAATAAGACACCAGTTTGTCTTCTCAGATCACTACTCAGGGTCGGACAGGACACATCTTTCCTGCTGACTTTATATCTTACCCATTACCTCCCAAACTACTTCACATTTCCCATATTCCAGAATGAAACTACAGTAATTACTTAATATATTTCATTATTTGAGGATAGATCATGTTCATTCACTCCCCCCCACACCCCCTCCACTGGAATCACTAGCTGTCTTGCCTACTCCATCCCCCTCTGTGGAGAATCACCTCCTGTTCTGAAACCTGACATTGTCCTACTGAAAACACGGCAGTTCCTGGGGAGGCTGCCTGGGTTAGGGAGAGCGCAGTGTGAACTTGTGAGAACAGGGCGATGCAGAGGTCGGCAGGTGGTGTAGGTTTCATATCAATGGCACCCAGAGGCCCTCACTGGAAGGAAACATGTTTTCAGAATGATGTTCTGAAAACCATCATCCAGGCTCACATTCCTGGACTCAACTGACATCAAGGTTAGCTGAATGGACAGTGCTCACTAAATGGGAAAGGTTAACTTTCAGAATATCCGTTTCTAAAGTTCATGTTGATGCTGGTGGCCGAAGAGGGGAGGCCCCAGCCAAACCAGCCCGAGACAGCTCTGTTCAGTCACTAACGACTGCTGTTTATTTATTCCACAGCTTCAGCTCTTTACACCGTCTGTGGAGTTTTCCTAAGAA